CTAGTAAAGTTGACGACATGGCTCCTATTGGCTTCCTTGGGCATTGGCTCAAAATACTAATCTGATTAACATTATGGCTCAAATTCAACAAGGTTGTTAAGCACTTGTCTAACTCAAGGCATACGAACAGTGCAATTACAATGATTTGTGAATTTAAAAATAGAAATACATTTAAATGCTCTGCTCAACTGGAGTCTAAATGAAATCAATATATGACAGCCTCTTATTCATGAAATATTAAGAGAAGATGCATAATTTAGTGTGCTCTATGTAGGCATATATACTTAGCACTGATGATTCTGTAATAGATTTATGCATAATTTAAACTGTAGAGCACTTTATGCAAAAAACACCTTGCATTAAATCCAGAACAGTACATTTTTTCTAGTGATGTGGGAATTTACTTTTAAACTGAATGCCTGGATAATTCTGTTTTCACACGTTCAAAAGTCCTTTGCCAAAGCAAAAGAAGCCAGTCTTCCCCAGAGCACTCAAAGAGGAGACTGAAACACACCAGTCTCCGCCAGGCAGCACAAGGTCTTCTGCTGACCTCTGCTGCCACACACAGCCACTGCCAGCGCTGGCACCGGGAGCTTCCTGTTGCTGCAAGAGCTTCAGGACTACCTCAAGTTTTAAGAAATCATGTCCAATTCGGCAGTGCAATGAGATGGACAAGAGGCACAAAAAGCCAAGCTTCTCACCTGAGATAATTGTTATTATTGGTTTGAGTCTTTTTTTTCTGTTAGTACTGTATTAATGCCTCAGTGAGAAGAGCACTCAAAGGCTGACTTGGCTTTATTTATATGAGAAGTACCTTTCTCCACAGCCCGCAACAGGCAGTAGTAACTAACCTCCTTCAGTTCAGCACATATTTAAAACCCTTCTTCAGTTGAGACCTGTGGCACATTTAGCCCCCTGGACACACCTGCCACAGATTTTCCTTACAAGCAGGGTCTTGCTATTCTTGCTGGACAGTCTTAAGGAAGAAGAGTAACTTCAGTACTGAGTACAACAGCCCTGTGCCTGCCTCACCAACTCTGCTTACTGCACCAGGCATCAGTCAGCTTGCATGCATTCCTGCACTTCCCTAAGCCTGGAGGAGGGTAGGGAGAAAGCAAAATTAGTCCTGGAAAGAATGCAAGGAGATGCCTTTTTTTTTTTTTTTTTTCTCTCCTCCTTCCTGTCAGCAGGGAAACCAAAGATGTGCCATCAAGCAGGGGACCTGGCTATGCCCCAACTCAGGCAGGGCACCCTGTACTTTCTACAAATGTCCTCTACCATCCCTGAACTCCTAGTAGGACTTTAAGAGCTCCCAGGAACTCCCCTTATATGACACACTATGATAAAAAAGAAAGCAAAAATAAATCAAAAAACATGACTTAAGGTTTCATAAGTGACTAGGATGGGATTAAGCTCCCTTGACATTAGGAGTCCTAGCTGTTCATGGTCTTCTTCATGGTCTTCCCAAATTCCTGAAATACTTAAACACTGAAATAAAATTCTTAAGGCCAGGTCTTTCTTACCGAAGTTTGCTATAGACAAGGATTAGCACTTGAAAGTCAAGTCAGAGAAAACACTGGGAACAATATTCTCCTAACTGTGTTCTGTACTGAGACCTCTGTCCTGGCATGTCACTGCCAAGCTTTCCAATATATTCAGAAAAAAATAGATCAGAAAATACTTCTGTTTATGATAAGCTCTCAAAGCTTTATGGCCCCTTTAACCCATTATTTACCTTATTACAAACATATGGTTCCTTTTTATCACAAGTTTCAACTCACTTTGCTTAGAGGTTAGAAAAACAGCTGAATCTAAGTGCAAATGAAATAGGAAAACTTATTAAAACTGTAGTTGCAATGCAGTTCCAAACTCAAGCCAAACTTATTTCACATTAATTCTGGCAGATAATGTTAAAGTAGGCAAGTTAGAACTGAAGACTTCATTTGAAGACCAAATTTATAATTTTCAGAGAATCTGATCAAAATATTCTAGCAGTAGCACCATTGAATACAAGTATTTGCCACTAGTAATTTCACAGCTTATGCTTCATTAAGTGAGATCAATTTCACCAACCTAACAAGGTTGTCAGAAAACTTTTTGTATAGCTATGTAGGATTTTCTTATTAGCCTCTCATGCACATAGGGAAAAGTCTTGTGAATGCACCCCATCCTTTAGTATCTGTATTACAAAATACCAGATTTACCAGCAAATCTCTTGTAGCTGTTGGGGTGTGTGAGAGGAAAAGTTTTTCAGCATTATTTCCCTGCAATGGGAATGCACCACTGCTGTGTGCAATCTGCATTACACATGTTCATTGGTAGATGGCACTACATGAACATGGATTTTGTTTCCAAAGGGGTATATTAAATATTACATACACGCAGTGTGCATAAGCAGTGCCAATATTTTCATTATTCCATGAGTGGAATTATGAAATTAAATTTAACATATATGTACAAAGGGATAGAAAATACTGGCAACTGCCACCTTAGTTCCCACTTTTCCTAACTGTGAAACACAGCTTTGTGCACTTACTGTACCTGTCATTGGCTTTAAGCATTATTTTTAACAGACAAAACAAGATATGCATCAGGTCAGTGTTGGCCACAGGATCACCATGAGTGCCTGGGGTTTGTGAACCAGCAGCCATGAGCTGCTCTCCTCTGTATACAGCAGGGATATGGGAATCATGACTGTTTGCTGAACTAGTGATGCGGGGGAGCCATTTTGTTGTTAGAGGCCCCAGCACTTGTGTTCCCTGATCTTTTAAATCTGCTTTTGCTGTTTTCTAGTTCTGTAAAGTCACGACTAGTTAGTCAAGTTCTGGACTAACTGTAAACATTGCATTTTTCTCTACACCTCCCCACCCTTGGGAAGAAAGTAGAGCAAGATTTTTAGAACAACAAACAGGAAAAAGTTGCAACGCAGCTGAACTACATTCTCATTGCCACTTGACATGTCTGTATAATCCACTACAAATCATATAAACATGGACTTCACAAGATCATTGCAACCTTTTTAGGCTTATGTACTAGCAGGTCTCAAGTGTTCCCAAACTAGAAGTTCACCAATGACAGACTGCAATAAAAGAATGCAGCTATGTTCGGAATGCAACTGTCTAAGCAAGAAAACATGTTTGGAACTTCAGAGATAATTAAAGTTTTTTTTTTGTTACCTTATATTCAGCTTGTAAAACTTCCTCATCATTCATGTGCTGTTTATGGCTTCAGTTCAATTATGTTCATTCTAGTTACCTGTGAATGTTTGCCCACTGCTAACTATGCAGCTCGGCAGAACTAAGTGCAACCTGTGAAAATCAAATGCAGCACTAAGAACTGCAAGATAATAGCCTGTTATTCACAGAACAATTAAAGGACATAAGGCATATGTTCAATGACATCGTGGAGGCCTATAGGTTGCTCAAACCTATGTACAGGGGCTGGCAGATAGACTTAGGACTTCGGGAAAGAAATAGTCACTGATGCAGAAGCAGGAAGTAGGGCAGGACAACCCTGAATTACTCCACGTGCCTTCACAAAGTGAACAGATTCAGTGCTGTTACTAGATACATGTGAGAAGGAAGTTCATATCAAATTCTTTATCACAAAGGCCACATTCACAGCCTACTCAGCTACCCTGTATCAAGGGTTCTTGAGGTGGCCAAAACACAATTCCAGAAAAGCACCCACCCCAAACCAGAAACTGGCAAGAGATGGAGAATTACTCCCTGGGGTCACATGCTGCACCAGCAAGTCACCCTTGGGGGCTCCTGATCATTTTAACTAGCATAAGAGTTCAGAGACAAGTTTGGGTCTATCTTTAGCCTCCAGCTTAAGTTCTTGTATCATACCTGTCTCCATCACACTGAAGACTCCTTGAGCACCAGATCTCTCTACTCAACAGGGTATTTCTGCATCATCATGGGATCACCCCTTGTTGTGCTCAGTCAGCGAAACTCTCCAAGCTGTTGGGCAGTTTCTTCCTTTCTCAAGTCATTTTACCAATTCAGCTAACCCTGTTCCAAATTTACAAAATCTTTTTAAGCACAGAGATATTCATATGTTACACACAGTATAAGAAAATCACAAAGCCACTTCTGTACCTGCTCATCTCCTACGATAAACTCAATGCTGGCAAGTGTTCCTTTAATCTCAAAAAGGACACCAGTAACTTGGGTCAGTCCTGGCAGAGGAGTATATCCTGGCTATAGAGTTGTCCAAATGTGCCTTGAGTACTCAGCACTCAATGTGTGTTTGCAGAACACCAGTTCTGCAAAGTGCATGTAATGAGAAGCCTATTTTCCTCTATTAAGTTTTAAATTCTTTAAGGGTTAGTCAATACCAAGGGGATTCAGTCTGCTTCCAGAAGAAATATGGCTTTGTTGGAGCTTTAATTACATTCAGTTTCAGCATAACATGCAGGCAGCATGTTGCAAGCTGAGAGAGAAATGCAAAGCGGACCTGGCGCCAGCCTTGTCTGCAGCTGCAGCACTCCAACACACTGCTTCTGTCACAGGGTCAGCCTGCATACAGGTGCATTCCTAACAGGATGGCTCTCAAACTATCCCTTGCAGTGGAAAACATGTCACAGGTGGCACAAGTGCAGGCACATGGCACATGCTTTCCCTGTAGGTGTGGTTCAGAGATTAAGCACAGTGATACAGGGGACCAGGTAAGCAGGGGCACATGGTCCAGTATTGATGCACAACTGTATTGACCAGGAGACCTGCAGAGCTGCTCCCACAGTGGTTTGCAGACAACTAGCAAACAATGAGGCTTAAAAGTGAATCATCGTTTCAAAGACCCTATGATTGGAGGGTAACATGAGAGTTAGCACTTACCTGACAGGAACACACACACATTTATACAACATTTAACACTGGTTCTGGTTTATTTTGGATGAGAACAGATCAATATCAGAGTGAAAGACAAACTAGTTTGTTTTGTTGGTATCTATTAATTAGTATAATCATTTGGTTAAATCACTACATTTCTCTTTGTGCTCAACTCTACTGAAAGGCACTGATCTCTTCACAATATTGTAAAGACTTACTAATGAATACCTCTAAAGCCTTACCTCACTTTTGGAGTCTTATCTCGCTTTCAGAGAATTAACAAATGCTGATAATTTCAGAGCTCAATTCTCAAGGTAAGCAGGATGCCAGTTTTCAGAGTTTCAAGATTTTTGCCATGTCAGAGTGTTTCCTCTCAAATCACGATAAAGCTAAACACATAGAAGTGCCCATGGAATTTGTAGAATCTGCAAAATTTTGCTCACATTAAAATTCTTCCAATACTCTAAAGGTTTTTTAATGAAATCTAAATTCTATAATTTCTTTCAAGTCTTATTTCAGACAAGAAAGGTACAATCATTCTGAAAATGACTGTAAAGACAGAGAAAGTACATCTTCATTTTACCAGGAAGGATTTAGATGAAATAAAAGCTAATAATAAAAAACTAATAATAAAACAATATTCTTTCACAGAACATCTTAGGCAAACGGACAGCCATTTTTGTGCACATACCAGACCAAGATCATCGTCAATAAAGTGAAATTATGGTGAAATGCAGTATTCCTGTAGAAACTGCTGCAAAGGTTGGCTGCGATTGTGCTACAAAACATGCAGCATTAGTTCATTAGGCATGGGAGATCTTTTAATCAGGTACACAGCTGGCTGAAGCTTCTCACAAGCAGAGTTCCAACAAACCAGAACTGGGTACAAGTTCTGGGTAAACTTCACATACAAAGATACGAGCAACACAGCATTTTTTTTTCCTCATTTACAGGTACAGAAAGACAAAACCCCAACTCTTTATTGATAATTTCTGGCATGGGATCACTTTTGCTCTCTCTGCAGAGGTTTCTCCTCTCCTCCAAACAGTTTCAGGATCAGATCATGGACCACAAGCTGAGAAGGAATTCCTTCCTTTTCACATTCAAAACCGGGTTCATATCTTCCTACCTTACACTATCTTCCTACCTTACACCCAACAGAAAGACAGCATCATCCTGTGTATCACACTAGGCAGGAACTGCATTTAAGCGCAACCACCAGTGAATCCTACATGCTGAGAATGGGGTAAGCAGCAACAAAGAAAAGTGTGGAAAGCAGGTACAGAATTAAGGTAATTTAACATGGAGGCATGAGAAGAGCTTGATCCAGAGTTTACTGAGCTCAGTGACAGCCTCTAACTCCAGAACATTTAAAGCACAAACACCTTGACAGAAGGTGCTAAACAAAGTAGCATCTTGCATAAATGAACAAATCTTCCCAATAAAACATATGAATTATATCAAGTGAATCAGCATAATTGGCTCCTGAGGTCATTTACTATTTGGCAACATCAACTTTTACTTCACTTGATAATGATGTGAAGCTACGAGTCCTGTGCAGAAACTGGACATTTACTATAACAGCTGCAGAAGTCAAAAATATGTCCTTGAGAACTAAAAATGCAATTAATGAATAGCATATTGAAAACAACAGGTTTTATTTTTAAAGCTTCAAGAGATGGAACAAGCTGTAGCTCATGCTAGTGTTTTCAACATACAAATTAACAGCATCTTTAGATGTTTAAGTCCATTTTTAGGTTCAAATCAGCAGGGGATTCCACTGTCCAAATAATTTTCCCATAGTCATAGTGCTCCTTTCAAGCTCTGCAAAACAATGTAGTTATTTTACAACACATAGACAGTTTCCAGCCATTTTGATTCAAAACTCCTGTGAAATAACTGCAGGGAAGCTTGCCAGGTGTCACTCCCCCATCCTCTTCTCCCAATGTTCCAGTTCCTCTTCAAGACACCCTTACCCTCATGTTGTCTATAAAACAGCATGGAAGGCTGGGAGATTGTATCCTCCTTTAAAAGCAAGGAGTCAAAAAGACCAACCAAACCTGCTAAGGACAAATCCTCCAGTGACTACAGAACTTGTCATTATGGCTACAGAACTTGTCATTTTGGCTCCAACCAGATGAATCAGATCATTCATCATAAACCTACAATGGCATATGAAGAGTACCCTTCTCTCCAATAGTGGCTGCTGTCAAAGACAGTATGTTAGGCTTGTGAAATTATCTCATTGCTCTCCACATTCTCAAACTATTCCTACACTTACAGTGGATCATCTCTGAACTTAAGTACTTTTCCATCTGACACACCAGGTTTTGACACACCAAGTTGTTAGAGGGCCTCCTGGAAAGAAAACAAACAAACAAAATAAGCTATTAGAACAGGTAGCCTCAAAAGCAACAAAAAATCCTGGAATCCACAGTTGTCCATGGAAGACCCAACTCTCAATGAGAACTCCATCACTTATAAAGATTGACTCTTAGTTGTGTCAGTAAATGACTTTTCTGTCCACAGACCTGGCCAACAGCAGTTAAGCAGCTGAAAAGACCTTCCTATCATCCCCATTCTTTTTTTTTTCTTTTTTTTTTTTTGGCAGTGGAACAGTGCTGTGTAGTAAAAACTCAGATCACAACTTTGACCAATACATAACATATTGGGCACAAACATCTGGTGTCCAACATTGATATCCTTTCAGAAAGCAGCCTGTAGTAGGAGTTATTTCTTCATTACAGCATAAGCAGACTTTACTCAAAGCAAGACCTCAAAAAGCACTGCAGAAAGTTACAGAAGGGCTCTACACTATTCCAGCATTCCCATACATTAGCAGTTCACTACAGAATTCACTGACTACACCAGGGACTATGCTAAGAAAATTCAGGGTGCTTGGCACCTTGGATGTAGGGAGTATTTACACTACCTACCACAGGAGGCTTATTTGTGTAAGCTACTTCTGTAGCCAGTGCAGAGGGCTGTACTCTTTCAAGGAGGCAGCTCAGCCCTAGGCCTCAGTCATGCACTGCAAACCCTCCTTCCTGCCACTGCCAAGGGAAGCCTTTAAAGACCAGGCTTCAACCTGATGCTTTCACACATGCACAATAAACACATACTGGTATTTTTGTGATGCGAGCTCGTAGAGAGTTGAATGCAGAAGAATATCAAGGAGATGGGTGATAGGTCTGCCCAGATTGTTCTGGGGCATATTGATCCATGTACTCCATGCTTGGCTTATGACCATGTCACAAACTGTTCCCATACATTGTACCACCTCATGCTTATGCACTCTTTATCTACTATTAGCACCAAACTGCAACACGGGACAATCACACACTTATAGCTAAGAGCATAGATTCCCTTTCCTCTCCTGCTGCTCATCAGGGACTCGTGTTCAGCAATGCCTGGAATCTCCCTGTCATTCTCTTCCTCCTGACAGGAAACTGAGGAGCCCTTGTGCAGAAGCAGAGGTAACAAAAGCCTTAATTTGACCACTGTGTGCCTTGTGCTTGCATCCCTACTCCCACTGGACACACGGACTGCATTGTCACCCTCCCCAGTCCTTACACATCGCTACAGAACTTCAACAGCAGCATTAGTCAACCAGTTTAGTTAGAACAAATTCAATGATTCAAAGTTTAAGAACAGAATTCACAAGTAGTGAATGGAAAATCTGCCTGCTTGGGATGACAGTCCAAATTCCAAACAATCCCTTCAGTTACATTCATACAATGTCTGCCCTGCTCCTTCTCAAAATGGCATACAGCAGTCACTCTTCTTTAACTCCAAAGCATTTACTGAAAGTGTCAGAAGACATCTCTGGGGTACAACACTGAAGAAAAACGCAGGCATTAAAGATCTTTAAAACACGTCCATGTCAAAAATAACTAGTGTTCTTGTATACCAAGCCTGAAGAGTAGAATTCACTTTGATCTTTCAACACTTGCAACGTAGAAAGCATTCTGCTTAGCCAAGAGCAGCATGTAGAACTGAAGCGCCTGCAAACTGGACACCACTGGCAACACAAATCAGATCAAGAAAGCAGCCTGGCATTTTTTATGCCATGCAATGAGATGATTCAGTCTGTGGACACACCCATGACCTAGTCAGTCATACCCAGAGACAGCCATGAGCACTCACTGCCCTTCCTCCATTTCTCCTCTGTTCCCCTCTGTGGTGATATTCTGAAGCATAAGAGTCTCCTTCAGAGATGCACCATCCATCTCTTTCTCTTCACCTTCCTTTTGAACCCAATGCTGAACACAGTCTTGCTCAGAGTTGCTTCTTACATACCCAGGCAAATTCACATGTGGCTCACTTGGCCTGCTCAGATTTCTGGAGCCTTTGGTGGAAAGAAGCAAACGGGAGCTGGCCACCACATGCGACTGGCTGCTGGTGCTATGGGTCAGGTGGGTGTGAACAGAGCCACATCTGTAATTGGCACATGGTGTTGTCTTCTTCCAGTCAACAGTCAGATTCCACCTCGTCCAAGTCTTCTTGATCTCGGTCTGAACCTATCAGAAGACAAAAAAGTCAGATCTGAAACTATAGTTAGGAGAGAGATTTTGAATGTTCCCTACAGAGCAGCAACCACCAAGACCCTCTGCCTTTGCCTAAGAGACACTCAGTCTATAAAAACATCCCAATAGTTCTTTAACAGGGTATTGAAAGTCTCAATCAGTTAAAAGTCCAATGATCTACCATCACTTAATGGTTGGATCTATTAGTTTATCACATAGCACCTCACTTGGCACTGCTGCAATCTCTTCTGAACTGGAAGTCTCTCTACTGCTAACATTCTCATGACAGATCAGATCCTCTTCCCTGCAGTCATCACTGTACAGAATGAGATGACATGAAAGGATTTTTTTGCTTCCTCCAGCTTTTTCAGACAGTTTTGCACAATGCTATTTCAATAGTATTTGAAACCCCCTCCCCTCAAAAAAATCTTATCCACATCACTTATTTATCCATGAAGTAAGTTTCAGATACAAACTAATGTATCTGCTTTATAACCAAGCAAAGATTTAAGGAAGTTGAGTTGTATGCTTCCATATCCCTCAATCATCTGAGCCATGTTCTGGAACACAGGTGATACCAAGACAGTCCTAAACTCATTCTGGCTGGGGCTGCTCTCATACCGAATATAGCTCTAGGCCATGAGATGAACCTTGCACACATTTTACCTCAACCTCTTGGAACAACTGTTACTCAGGGCTTTAGGTTGAGGGCCACTTTAGTAAAGGTGTATTCAAAACTTACCTCCCCATTGCAGTAACAGTAGATGATAGAAACAAAGAAACCCTGGGAATAAAGAAGATAACTGTCACATGCAAGGCTGTACCAAGTATAGGCCTCCTAATTTTAACTGCAAATTCATTTAAGACTTTATATCTGTTATTTTACTTGCACCACCAGAAGTACATTAGAACACTAGGGTCAGCAGGACCAGAGTAAGTGCTATGTTCAGAACCAAGAGCTGACCCTCACCCCAGTATCCCAAGTCCCCTGGACCTCCTGAGCCAGAGGGCAGCAGCAATCCACTATTGCTGACTGGCAGCACTCAGAACATTCTTAGACTATGTAAAAATGCTTCAGAAAGATTCCCTAAGCATAGCCAGGAGCCATCAACTTAAGGAATCAATAGACCCTTACTAGAATAAAATGTAGGTTCACATGTTTGATATTTAAATCTACCCATAAATAAAATTTACTTGCTGTAAGTGAAATTCTCAGGGGCAAATAAGGAGACTCCCATCATAACGCATGTCTTTTATTAAAAAAGAATCAAGAGGTGGTATTGAATTTGTATACTATAAGGACCTAAACATACAAGGGAGCAAGACTAACTCGCAATATTTGATTGTGGGTGTTATAACTTGGTCCCATCTGCTGCACAAAGCAGAGCAAACACTTCAGGTCAAATGTCCTCTCCCTCCCCACCTCACTCCCATCTACACCAGAAGTGGGGTTAGAGATACCATAAAAACATTAATGAATGTTTCTAAGAGACTCAAATGAAGTAATTTAAAAAGCATAGCTCATTTAATTATGCCAGCATAATTAGCAAGGTATCACCACATGCTAATTATGTCCCAAAAGAAAATACACCCATCAACAAAGCCATAATTCTCTGTGACAAATCACATGAAAAGACAGCATGGTTCTCTTTGCCTTTGAACAAAGGTGAAATAAATACAGCTCCTTGCTGCTCCCAGGCTTGAGAAAAATAGGTGACAACACTTTGCTGCCAGAAGCACTATAACACAGAGGGCTGTGAATTCTTGCAGAGGAACAGGGTCCAGAGTAGAAAATGCACCTAGTGAATAACAGTTCACTACTGCCTTACGTACCTGGAAAGAATTGAAGAACAGCTCACAGTGCATGCGGATCTCCCAGGCAAGCCCAGTGAACGTATGCGGCAGGCACACAAAGACAATGTAGTGCACACCGAAGACCAGGACAAGAACCAAGGTGGATTTTGCTAGCTTCCTACAGAAAAGATGAGAGTCCTGTTTATATGCTAAAGGAAGAATTGCCTCCAGGAAGTCAAGTATTTCAAGTTAAGTCTCTTCCTGTCCCCCTCTATTCTCAGCATACTGCAACAAGTCATTTTCCCAAAGCAATAAGTTTTTAACAAGATAACACCTTTAAAACAAAGCATGAAGATTTAGACCCATTCCTGGTCTCTAAATATACCTCAGCTCAATCTGTCTACATTAGCTGGCAATCCTTAAGTAATTATTTAAAAGTTAAGGATTCTTGTACAGAAGCAGATAAATGCATCATTAGTAAGTTACACCTCTGGGGTGATGTTGACTTGCTTTGCAGAGCAATAGTTCCATTTACTTATTTAGAAAAGTCTACAAGCTCATGAGCTTCTGGAGCTATAGGAAACAGAATGAGTCTTAATAAATGGACAGAATATTGATAAGGTTTTTTTTCTGTGATAGGATCTTTAAGTCAGTGGATCATGATTTGATTCTGTTCAAATTGAACAGAAGATAAACACACCAACATGTAACTAATGGTTTCCATTTCCAGAGCTAAAAATATCACAGTAAGTTTAATCAACTGAAGAGCTTGAATTAGAGAGAAGCTGTGAAATTCTTGGATTCAAAAAACACAAGCCTCCCAAGTATGGTTAAGACTATGACAGATGTGTTCTGGATATAACTTGATGAACAGCCTCTTCAGAAGGGTATTCAAAATAAAGAGATTATAAAGAATACAAGTGGCAGCCACTTTGCAAAGAAAGTTATATTGTGGAACATGATTGCATTGCATACCAAAGAGGGTTTGGGATAACGCAGAGATCAGATTCCTCCACATTCTCAAAACCTCTCGCTGCAATATGCCTACTGCTATCACTTTATAACAAGGGTGTCCTGTCCACCCTATGGCCAGTCAACTTTCCGGCTTAACATATAATGGCTTGTGAACATGGCTCCTCCCACCTATTTATTCCTCAAAGAGCTTTCTCACAGATTTTTAGTAATGTGCATTCTTAAATTCTGAGAATTTGGTTGAAGCCATTATGATTTTGGTGTTAGATGCACCAGAAAGTGAACTATCAGTAACTCAGCTGAATGACCATGTCAATTCCCTCATTACATACATCAGAACATGTATTTAGTGGTAAAACTTATCACTTCCATTGGTATCTGAAAGACATAAGCTTTACAGAACAACCTATACCCACAGAGATGCTAATAGCTTTCATAAGAGTAAATTGTTGAAAGCACATTTCTGCAAGAATCATACAGGAGTGTGTGTTTTGGGGTAGCGTTCTAAAATTGGTTTAGTTTGCCTTGAAAAAATACCCAAAGTTCTAGACAGCTGGTAGAACAGACCTAATGCAAGAATATCAGAACTCCTACAGTCACAATGAGCTTACAGCTCTGCGCTTTAGGTCTTACAGCACAGCAGCCAGTTAACCCTGAATTTTCTCAAATTATTTTGACCACAAAGCTGATTCACCTTTTACGAAGGCACCTGGCATGACTCATTCTGTACTGAAGCACAGGTTTTACCCAGAACTACTGCATGCCTAGTCTTTAAAATCCCATCCAGAGGATGTACCTGTACTGCTTTCTTGTGTCATGCCCAACAGCATGCGTCTCCCAAATTTTAGTTGCCAGAACTCGGACAGTATTCAGGAACAGAATGAAGTTCAGCTATAAAACAAAGAAATATTGCACAGAAAAACTGCATTTAATAACCATGGGAGTATGGTTACAGGATACAAGAAGAAATACAGGATACAAGAGATACAAAAGAGATTTTAGAGATAGCAAAACACAAATAACACACACACACCAGCTGAAAGAGGCCATTTCTACACTATATTGTTCTTCAGATTTATGCTCCTCCTTTCCAACAGCCAGAAACAGGTAATAAGGCTTGCCTTTATGTTCAAATACCAGGTGAGCTCTTGTCAATAGAATTCCTAAACCCTCTGCACTAAACTACTCTGAAAAGGAAATTCTAACTGTGTGGAAGGGGATGAGATTTCCATCCCCTTCCCCAACTATAGCCATAGTATAATCCTTAATTCATTCTCATATGAGTATTCCTCAGGTAATTATATGCAAAAATGAAGATGAATGATGGACTAGAAAGGTTTGTTTCACATCTACTGTAGCAGGATGACAGCATGCATATCCTACCTGCAGGACTTTTTAGCATATAATTCTGCATTAATATACCATACCAATTCAACGTGCGTTTCAAAGCACTACCCAATTTCACTTGTAGAGTGGGATGCAACATAGCAAATGCTATAGCAAGAACTTGGTTGTGATAAGCACATCCAACATACACTACTAGAAAAAAATACCATAGAAGGAAGGGTAAAATCTAGACTTCCAGATCAAAGGATGAGCCAAGTGTTTTAGCTAATATCTAAAAGTGACCATACAGTTAATAGGAAATTGCCATACTCCTGACAAAGAACTCAGGATTGATGGTCCTCAGCACCCCCCCACACACACATGTACATACACATGAAAACATACTCTGAAGTTATCAACCATAGGGGTGAACTTCAGACCAGAAAGGGAAGCAGATTCTAGAAAGTTTAAATTGTACAGAATTTGAACCAAAAGATCACTAGAATTGGGCTAATAGTAAACCTTTGTTTAGATTGTTAAGACTTCAGTTAACCTAGTCCTCAGTTTCACCTAGATGGTGCATCCTTTTTGCTCAAAGCAAGATTCTGAGTATAAAAAATACTGGAAATTCAAGTGACCTATTCTGTAACCTGGGTGCAATGAACTGATAAAGAATATTAGCAGAGTTTTCTGCAACTTGGATGCAACAAATATCATCTCATTTCTTTGTGCACCACTTGAGGTACTTCAAGATAAGGCTCCATCATTTCCTTACAAAAGGCATCTCCCCTCGTTCTCCCCCAGCAAAATCAAGAAACTATAAAAGAGACATATAAAACCTACCCCAATAGCTGCTAAAATTGGTGCTTGATAAATCCATTTGATCTCTCCAGCACTCAGCTCCCAGCACCTGCAATTGCACAAGAAACCTAAAAGTCAGTGACAACATAAATAAGCAAATTATTGTGTTAAAGTACAGTCAAGAACAGGTCTTGTTAATTATGGAAATCATGTGAAATACAAATAGCGTGCTTACCAGTTTGGTTAGCAAAAAAAAAAGCTCAAGAAGAGTAACCTTCAGTGTTAGGTGTTATCTTCACAAAAAACAGGCAATTCTTTTGCTGGGGTTCTCTTGCTGGCACTCTTAAGTATTTAGAAATAAAAATAATAAACTTGGAAAAAACACTCCGCCTCAGTCTTCAACCACAAACAGCAGGAGCATTAAGTTAGTAGTTAAAGAAGGAAAAGAATAAATTGTTACACACCTATGCCTAGTTTTGACAGTTTCTGATAAACAAAGGGTTTCTCTCTAACGTTCCCAAAAAAGACAAAGTCACACAATCCTTCTTTGCTACGCAGTTAGTTCACTGAAGAAACACTGTTTTGGAGCATAGATTTTTCTTTGCAGCCACTTCAAACATAGAAAACCTAAATCAAACATTTTGACAATAGGCATGACATAAGTATTTGCCATGAACTTGCTTCTCATACTGCTCTGCACTTGAATACATGTAGCAATAATAGCCCAAGCTCCAACTTAATGAACATCTGCTGAAAAAAATTACTGCACTCAAAAGCAGGGCAAAGCAGGGAACTTTGCCTAGACCTAACTGCCTTACACGAGTAAGGATACACTAGTGGCTCTGCTCCCACCACACAGCTCTTTAGTGGAGTACATTCAACATCAACATTGCTTTCTCTTGCTTCTCTCCAACTTTTTCCTCTGCATCTTTGCCTTCTCCATCCAGCCTTGGAGAGTCTTTTTTTTTTTGCTATCACTGACATCCTCATGCAAAAAACATGAGAGTACCTGTGGATTATTTCAGAGCGCTATGTTTCTAACTAGTTCCTTTTCAACTGGAAAAGATGGTAAATGCTTCCCAGTAGCTTCTGTTGATAAGAACACAGATTTGGGCCTCAGCCAGGAAGCTGTTAACTCATCCCTGGTAATCAGCAAACAGCAGGGCATTTCCAGTAAAGAAATTATGTTCAAATTGGGGAGGTGTGCACCTTCATCTAGTGTCTGTCTCCTGACTTAAAACATCTGGCTGAGAATGAGCTCATGTTTTAGCCATCAGTTTATAAAATAAGGGGGGTACTTTTTAAGAGATGTTTGTGTATGGAGGGCAATAAAAGACAAATCAAAACAAAACATACTCTCCTGCCTCCAGGAGGGATTCTACATTTACTAGTATGCTGGAAAATGGAGCTTCAAACATTAGTGTTCTTTCCTGAAAAGCATCTGTATTGGTACTTCCTTTATGCATTTATAGGAGCCAGGCGAGATTCCCTAGAGAGCAGTCTTTACCAGGCAGGAAGTTGAAGGCTTACTGCCCCTCAAAGTTGTCTGCTTCGGACTGCAACTGAAAGAGCAATATGGAGAAGTGGGTTACATCTGCCCAGGCTCAGGCTGACAGCTAATTATTCCATAACTGTCAGTCTTCTGACTTCCTTTAAGCCAAAGGAAATCTCCTTTTAGGAGAAGTTATTTTCCATAAAAATTAAGATATCACTCCAGCAAGAGAGGCTCCTAAGGGTTTCAGTCCTCGAAACATTTTTGCCAACTTTCCATCTGCAGGATTGCCAAGCAAATACTTGGACTCCCTGAAATAGCCACATTCTGCTGTCCAATATGTAAAATGTCCACAGATTGTGCACAAAGTTGTCTGAGCTCATGAACGGGTTATGGAACAAAATTAGTAGATTCAGTTAACTTCTCTTTGTGCCCTAGCTAGCACCAGAAAGGCTGTTTGCTAAAAGGTATGTTACAGCTGTAGTAGTATATGTTACAGTGCTGTAGATGACACACCCTGACCTTATTTAATATTGTTCTTTAAACTTTGGGGCTTTGTGCTCCAAAATTAGTCAAGCTCCAGAACATTCTATTACCAAGGCAGTTACTGTAGGGCCCAATGAAACACAGCAGCACTTATCTAAATCATCCTACCACAGACTACCTTGTACTAGGACCAATCTTGCCATGTGTAACATCTCCTGGAACGCCACATATAAAGTTTTCTGGGATGATTTATCAGCTACAAAGGGGAAGCATCATAGCCTGTGCACTTCAAAACTTCAACTATCTCATGCTAAACTGAGACGAGCATGAGGATGTACTTCTTAGTGGAGTGTTTCCATATTTATGCCAATGTCCCAAAATTAGGATCAGTTCTTCTATTAAGACTACAAGCTACTGCAGTATGCCTGAAAAATCATAGAATTTTCCCCAAATTTGCTTAATTATGTTGCAACACTTACCAACTGTTATCCAACATCTGAATACAGAGAAGAAAATGGTTAAGATAATTAACTCAAACTATGTCTGGCAAGTCTTGAGGAAAAAAGCCTCTGCAACATGCAAGCAGTACAAAATATCTGTGCTAACTCAGATAAAACAACCACAGTTGCCTATTCAAATGCAACACAAGTCACTGTATTTTCATTTTTTCAGTGGCCAAGCTCACTGCTGCTGCCAACGGCAGTTTCAAATCCTTAACAGAGATCTCAAGGACTCCTGAAATAGCAACAGAATCCTTAGAGCACTGTTTCCTCAGGTACAAAGAGTCACAGAACATTCTTTCTTAGGGACAGGTTTCTGACCACCTATTCTTCTGGGTTATCTTTTTGTCAGCCATAAATCACTTAAGCTAACTTTTCAACTGGACATTAAAGAAAATCATGCCCATCTCACAACATGCTTTTCTGAAATAAACACAAATGATCCTAAGACCCCTGTCTTTTTTTTTTTTTTCATTTGGGTTTCCATCACTGAGCCAATAAAACAGGTTACACCTTTTGGATTAAGTTATTTTGGTAGGTATGAGTAAGAGTAGGTGCTAGACAAAGAACATAGAAACAGGAAGATACAAACAAGTTCAACTGTTTCTAGCAGGAGCAGACCAAGTTTCCTCCTCCTTCCACCTCTTTGGCTTACCTTGCATCCACTATTGCAGCACGAGCCACTGCCCAGGCCACAACAAAGACAGCTGGAAATCCTGTAAAAAAAGCATTTTAATTATCATTTAAAAACTAGATCAGCTCAGTTTCAGTCCCAAAGTATAGCTACTTCTGAAAAATTGATTATATAGAACTCCATGGAACATACCTTACCTAGCAAAAAGCAGTGCTACTGGTAAGCATGCTTATTCTTATCCTCTCTGACTGCAATTTCACTGTGGCATCATACTAAAGAAAATGTCTGGGTTTTCAGCCCACACAGCCCAACATAGAATTCACAAAGCTTGCCAGCTCCTTGGAAGTATACAAGGTAAACTGGTCATGTCAATTTGCTTCTGAAAGGACATGGACCTACTTAAATCAAGGTTAACAATAGTCAGGAACAAACAACACCCTGTGGTGCTTTCAGTAAGTTTAATGGCAGTTTTTACTGTTGACTTCAGCAGAATACAAAAAAGTCAACTGCAAAATCTCCAAAAGGAAGAATATTTGTTATCTTAAGAGATGCAAAGCTACTTAACTCTCCAGTTTCTATTAAAAACTTAGATTTACTCCTCCCAGTGGCAGAGGGGCTCTCTACAAGAGAGCTCAGGGTGGCTCTCTACAAGAGCAAGGCTTGTACAACGTTTAACATGATGCTCCAGCCTTTATTTGGTGAGTTAATGACATGACTGGGGAATGGAGCCACATGGTAGCTAACTGCACATGAACAGATCATATAGGCTAGGGATAAGCAGCATCTCGTGAAACTTTCTAAATTAACATTGGCCAGAAAAATACAGCAGTTTGGACAATACTTCTGTTTCACAATCTTATTAGCAAAAAAAAGCTTCAATTTCTGAGAAGCAATATATAAGGAAACTGATTAATGAGAAAGGTTCAGGAAAGCAATATATTTGCAGAGATGTAGCCAGAACTGCAATGGAAGTTAAGAGTTCTAATGAAGATTACTTCCTCCCTTAAGTTAATGGAAATAGCATCACTTATGTGACTGCACTTGAAAGCATAGATGGAGGTAAAAGAATTATTTGCAGCAATATGGTACCCTAATACAACAAGTTCTTTTACCATTTTTTTAATAAAAATGATTTAATAAGAAAAAAAATCTAAGCTTTAAAAGGACAAAGGTTTTCTCTACAACAGCTTCAGTATTCCAAGAATTATGATTTCTAGTCTCACTGAAAGCCTACATATTCTGAGAAATTCGCTTCTCTGTAAAGGTTAGATATATTATCAGCCCCACTTGGTCACATTGAGCCCTGCTGAACCTTTCACAATGGCAGAGATGGGTCCTGGCTGATTTCCAGTGATGCCTGAATTGAGACAAGCCTTTCTCCTTGAAACAGGTGTTGCAAGATTCATTCATACCAAACAATACCTTCAAAATCAGTGAAGTGGCAGACTGCAAACATAAAATGCCAAGAGCACAGAAAAGGGCTGAGATAGGTACTGGGGGAATGAAGGATAAGTAAAGAATCCTTCATTTTACTGGGGCTGCTCTAACAGACCAGAAATACTGTTTCTGTCACACATGATTATTTATCAGATAAAAACATTTGCCAGCTGAATTTCCCAGAGGTGGTTTATCAAGAAACTAATGAGAAGGATCAGCAAGTGAAACAATATGCTAATACATAAGATTGAGGGGAAGACAAACTTCACTGATCTCTTCAGTCAAAAAATAGCAGATACCTTCTTAAGGCTGCTTGAGAAGCATGTTACTCTACAAGACTCCCTTGAAAAACCAGGCCCCTAGAATTTGGAATAGCCCCAAAACTACCGAGCATTAGATCCAGTGATGGAGCTAGAAGTGTGATTCCCATGCAATGCGCTTGCCCTGCATGGACACAGTGAGTCAGCCTCCAGGGATTTGCTGTTACGTTTGTAAAGAGGCTGTCCAGAGCCTCCAAGGCCCTTATGTCCACTCCATGTTCTCCAATAGCATGAGCTGTGCTAAGATGCTACAGGGCAACACAAATACAACCTGCATGCACATCACTGGGGAGTTCACTGCAAAGAATTTGCCTTTTAATTTCCATTGCTCACTAGCTGTTGCTCTTGCCTACAGAAAGGGAACCATGGGTCCCAGTTAAAAATCCAGAAAAACAATGACGTGAAAAAAGTGAACTCAGATCTGCTGGTTCAGTACTATAAATGTTTTGATCAAAATGCAGAAAAGACTGCTGCAAAGACTGCCGTCTCAAAGAAGAAAAAAACAACGTTTGAAGCATGAGTATTTCTTACAGTATGGAAGACTTACTTTTCCCACTCATTTTCAATACAAGAAATATCGAGCAAACGCCATTAAGAAACTAGTTTAAGAGCTGCCCTCCCAAAATCCCCCTTGAGATGAAAACGACCAGTAAAACCACAAACATCCCTTTCTTCCTCCAAAAATACAAATCAAGCTTTTCTTTAGTTTAAATACAGAGACCATAAATTACAAGCAAGATCACAAAATGATGGCTAGAAGAATACACCAAAAGGCCTGCTCAAACAATGAACTAACTGAATTGACCTCACCTTTCAAAAGAAATATTCTGTCAGTTTGTAAAGGAAAGGACTAATCAATTACTACATTCACCACCCTTCAAAGGCAGGCTACACTTCCCTGAAAAAGGGCTATGGATTGCAGTACATCTATATGCACCTATCAATGCATTTTTCCCCAAGGTACTAGTTACAAGTAAGCCTCTACTTACAGCACGTTGTTTCAAAATCACTTAAAACAAGGCAAAAATAGGACACAGTGATCTAAGGAGACATGGATCACCAACGGAGCAATTATAGAGGACCCAAGACAGGACATTTCCATCTCCAGTCACTTAAGATCACATGTTCTTAGATTCATTTACGGAATTCTCAAAGCATACACCCATTCTCTGCTAGGGTTGGGAAGGATTTGCTTCTGATCTCAACATTGCACAAATTAGAGACGTATGACTCTCACCATTCATAGGGTAGGTCAGAGGAGCTAACTATCATGCAGAAGACCACATAGCAAAGATGATAATGTAACCCAGCCAGTCATGCTTTAAGTTTCATGCACTGAAATACAAAAAGAGTGCATTCCCAAAGCCATCTCTGCCTCAAAAAAAAGCATAAGAAAAACCCAGGTGCCTTACCCCAGCCTATCAAGATAAAGCCCCAGAGGTACTTGCTATCCGAAAAGAAAGCAACAAAGATTAGGCTGTGTAAATAGAGGCCTTCCACCAAGATCCAGTAGTAGTTGGTGGCCAAGAAGTAAATGAAGGTCACTACAGCAATCTTGCACCCAACCTGTTAAGCAAAACTATGAGTTAGCACAACACAATACAGCAATCTGCCTTGTACCACAAGTGCTCTGCTGATTTTTCACATCTTATGCACAGAAATATTTAATGGAAACAATCTTCCTTGTATTACTATTTTTAACTTCAGAGGTTGAGGAGCACATGAACATCTGCAAAGAAGTAACAACTCAAAACTGAGAGGCACTGTGCAGCTATACCCACAGCCTCAGACCTGCTGTGCTAGGGGAGCCTGCAACAACCTGCTGCTGCCATGCCAGGTTTCACTTGAGTTCAGGAGGTCACACCAGGGGAGCAACTCAGGAGCAAAGAAGAGAGCCTCACTACTACAATTCCCTCATTAACAAGGTCAGGTTGGAAAGCAGTGGCATTTGGGGGAGAACAATTTTCAAGTATGATTTTTAAGAAAAATAAACTCCATATCTTTAGATGGGGGAAATTTTCAGAAGTACTCAACTGATTCAATGCTGTCATCTCTAATGCTTTTGAAAGATTTCACTATGCATTAGAAAATGTATGACAGCTATGGAACTCATGTCTTAAAACATAAAGCCCTTGCCTCTGTTTCAAAACTGGGACTTCAGAGCCCACATCATAGAGATGCTCCATAGAATCTTCATCTCATTCCCAGACAGAACAAGTTCTTCACCATGGACTTACACTGTCTGAAAGCCTGATCTCATTTCTCACTCATCTCCATCCATTTTTCAAAGCAGTCTTAGTTGGCACACAAACAGCTTGGATCACATGCTCATTAACATCATTGATAACTTGTGCTTACATATTGTGACCTGCCCGGAGGAGCTATTGAGATGCTTTCAAGATCATTTGCTGGTAGAGCCTCCAGCTCTTTGATCCCTAGATGAGTCTGCACCACTTTGTCCTTGATAAAGATGCTGACAGCTCTTAACATGAAGGAGACGAACAGGTGCATGTGGATGTAATTTCTGGTGCAATGCAGTCGCCTGTGGGAATAAAGTATGTTAAACTTATTAAAAAAACAAATACTTTCATGGACACTTGCAAAAGTTGGAATTGAGGAATTCTTAATATAATTCCAAAAAGGAGGTTTAAATGGCAAAATAAAGTAGACCCTCCAGCAAGGTGGATTAGCAATCACTATTAATTGTGGGCTATCATATTGGCAATAGATGCCACTTCATGATGAATTCTGGCACCTAATGCCAGGCAGATAGGCCCAGCAGGTGTACACAAGTCATACACTTGTGCCAACAGGGCACTAATGAGCAGCAAGATGCTTCAGCTCAGACGCAGCATTCTACAAACAGGTCTCAACAGCTTCAGAGTGGCCATGGATCATCTCCACCAAACTCCAGTGTGCAAAACGAGCTCCTTTGTGCTTAGCCAAGGAGATAGATGACACTATTTGCTCTAACCCCTCAGCTCCCTCACTATTTATCCACTAGTATAACATAACTGCAAAACATTCATATCCACCAGTCAGATTGACAGCCTCTGAAGTATCTATTTACCATTGATTTATTACCATTACCAAACATTTGCTAACATTTCCAAGTTTCAAAATACAAGGGAGTGTTTATAATGTCACCGCTGCAAATGGGGCTATTCATAGTATAGCTACTAAAGAACAGAAGTTGACTCTTGTCTCAAAGACCGCTAGTCTCAAGATGAACCACATAATTTGTGAGACTAGTCAATTTCTGCTTTATGGGTTTCTCTTTCTCAGTTCAAAAAACTCATTATCTAAAGCTTAGGAATACAAAATATCTCTCTCTTTACAACACGGTACAATAAGTTCAGTGGATAAATGCATACTACCACTTCAAAATTACTTTTTTTGATAGATATACCAATAAGCTTGTAAAAATCCAGTTCACTTTCATACTCATTTATCTTAGCATCCACAGTTCTGAAGAGTAACAAAATCTTGCTATTGGCAGGTTGAAAAGACCAAGTATTTCATAAAAGTATTTAAAGAAAAAGATCTGTGTCTGTAGTTAACTAGACAATACATATGGTACTTCATATACACAGCATTCTGACAAAAAGGATCAAACATTAACACTCAAAAAGGAGGTGTCCTACAAAGAAAGAGCAAAAATGAAACTCTACAGGTGGGACTGACTCACCTACCTGAAGTAGCCAATGATGAAAATGGCCACAGTCAGAGAAGTAAAGGAGATGGAGTATCCTACAGTATACATTACATAGAGGCGATCAAAGAACTCCCTCTGAAAAAGAAAATCCAGCACCATTTCCACATTCCTTGAAAATGAATGTATTTAAGAACTCCTTTGTATTTGGTAGGTTACATATCTGCTTAACTTCTTTTGCAATAGATAGCTAGGCAAAATTGCTGGTCTAAAACACGCAAAATTTACAAGTTATGATTATCTCATACTGCTCCAGTTAGATTTAAAAAGATTTTGCCTTCAAGAAGGTATCGTAGGACTATGTTAAGCTGACTACCTGGTGCTATGAGTCAACAGGAAAGAAGCCTTTGAAGATCTTATATTGCAGTTACAACAGCATTTCAGCTGACAGTCACTGAAAGTGATTTTTTCAGTGAATGCTAGTGCTTCTTTAAAATTATTTTGTCATAGTCAGAAGCATTTCCAAGTCAATAAGGCTTAAGATCATTGTACCAGCTGCTTTCCTCACTTTAACATTATGTTAGTAAAGTCTCTTCAATAGTTAGTTACTTAAAAACTAATGCTTTCCATCAGCACACAAATTTAAGAATGAAGGCAGTCACACTAGCACTCTAAGGAAAGATGTAAAAAATATGAAATACAGTAAGATGTCTGTTCTTTATCTCTAAACTTTGCAACTTTACGAGTATTTGAAAAGGTTCAATACCTTTCTTGAGATAACTTCTGGCTGTAAGAAGTGGAAGCATTCAGAATAATTGGCCCATGTTCTGTTTAAGCTCTGCACAAAGTCCCATGTTCCATTGAGGCTGCAGTATCTGAAAGCTACTCCTGAAAGAAAAGCTGTTAGTTCAGTTTGATCCTTCACTCTGCTTACGAAATCCAGAATTACAGAACTGTACCTTTGTGATTGAAATCATATACATAACGAGGGCATGGAACAGCTAACATTTTTCCCACAGATCCTCTTGGCCAACAGATGAGACCATCCCATTCTGGAAAGCAGTCTCCTTCTGACAAAAGGGCAGAAAGAGAGAGAATAAGAATGTGTAAGACACAAGCCTTTCTGATGCATCTTGCTTTACTACGCACTCATGTCCAGTTCAAATTTGTTATTTAAGAGCCAAAATATTTCATCTTAGGGCCACTAAGATTAGTAATTTCTGACATGCAAGGAAAGGCTGAGATAGCTGGGATCACTTACTCTCAAGAAGGTTCAGGGCACAGAAGAGGGAATTTTATTGTGTATAAATACCCGATCGGAAAGTAAAGAAAAACAGAATTTCTGTGGTATCGGGTAAGATCAAAACAGGCAATGTGCACAAACTCAAATACAGAAGAAACAAAAACAAATACAGAGAAATTGTACTACAAGTGACCAACACTGGAACAGGTTAACCAGGGAGGCTGTGGAGTCTCTATCATAGGAGATACTCAAGCCCCAAATAAACACAAGCTTGAGCAGTGTGCTCTAAGTAACCCTGCTTTCAACAGACAAGTTGAGGCTCAGCTCTTCATATATACCTTCCAACATCAGTGATTCCATGACTCCCAGCTGCTGTCATCACCCTGGGCTATACACAAGGGAGTGTTAAAAAACAAAATACTGCAGTGCAAGTGCACTGCCATTTTTTGCAGGCCTCTAGTCTTGCTGTAACTAAGATGTGCATTCAACCCCACGGTACTTCTAATTGCTTCTCTGCAAGTATGACATCCACATTTAACTTCTACCACAGATTTACGTTTTTCTCTGCCCTATAAAGACACCTTTATTTCTTGCTCTCCATCTATTCACCTATTCTCATTATGTCAATAGGCAAAACAGTTGATTTGAGGTAAAGTTGATTTGAGGTAAAAAAACACATTCATTTGCATGGTGGTGTTTTGTCTTTAAGCTGTCAATGCTGAGCCATTCATCACAGACAAAGCTACACTTGACCCTGAACACCTAAGCACTCTAAAAACCCGAGAGAGACAAGCTTCATATTTCATTTTTGAAGAGAGGTCAAGGGCCTTTTCTGAGTAAAGGAAGTTATTTTATGAATAGAACACACTTGAGTATAATCAGAAATTAGCTCAGTAGCCTTGCGTTTTTCACACAGTAGAAAAAATTTGCTGAAGCTTCCTGTATTTCAGGTCCTAGACTTAATATTATAAAAGAATCCATCAAGAATGCAAGATGTAGAACTATCTATGTACATAAGGGAAGGGATTATTACCAATGTAATTTTGAAGAAACAACTAAGAGCATCTCCAAACGTACACCATCTTAAAAGAAAGTCACAAAAACACCACTTAGGCTGTTTTTTGTTCATTTTTCTTCCCTAGTAAGGGACTTAAGAAAACACATCCTTCATCCATATTATCCATATTAGTACTCAGAAGGGAAGTTCTGTTTCATTATCTCTGCTGTGCTGTCATTTGGCAAACATGACCATTGCTATGCTAATGCCATATTGATGGCATTTAATTTTTAATGCCTTTTTTTAACCAGTAATTCCCTCAGCGGGCACAGGTTTCAGTAGGTAGTACGTTTATCACAATTATTTCATACATGAGCTGTTCAGATTAATTCAGCACAACCAAAGAAATGACCTTCTGTGCATGACAAAAAGGCTAATGATTTGTTAATCTCCTCTAAATTAACACCATTAATTATTCCTATCCTAAAAGGATGTGTCCTTTCACATGCTTTGCATGTGCCAGGACAAAGACTAATAACTTGTCCTCTTTTAAGTAGTACCATGCAAATACATTTAAGAGTGGAACAGAAATATAGATGTCTTCCCACCCATTCATCCTTCAGGGAAAAAAGTTAAAAAAGGAGAAAATGAAAGTTCTGAGACACTGCTAGTGCTACCAGCAATGTCACTGTGGTTAACATGGGCAGCATGGTTTATTGCAGATTTACTGTGTTATGTACTACACTAACACCTCTATATTACTTCTGACAATCTTTTTTTTAACCAAAACAAGAATACCAACAAGATTAAGAAAGCTTTATTCCCTGCCAAATCCCTTTGCTCCATATCTCAAGTCTTCAGCATTTACTGTTCCAGTAAATCCATATAGTTCATCAGTATTTTGAAAATTGCTCAAGCCCTGCATATAAGCAGAGTTATATGCTCTAAAGTGCTGTGCTTGTACAAAACACTTACATGCATCTTTCTTGTCAGTGCAAGACGTTAAAATATGGGCAAAATTATTTCTGTAGTCCATATTTTGGTTGGAGAGATCATCAGCATTAGAATCATTTGAGTGACAAAAAACAAATGCAAAAAAAAAAAGAAAACAAGAATCTGGGTAATTCTTACACAAATCAAGAATTTCTGGGAAGACTGGAGCATTTGTGAAATATACTCATTAAACAACTAATAGAGAACTGTATAACTGCTACCATATAAGACAACTGCTTGACACTTTGGATAAATTGTTAAATACTCAAGTTTTCTCATCCTTTCAACAAAGGACATTGTAGCTGTGTTGTACAGACACCTCAATCAGCTTTAATTTAAGGTGTTCAAAGAGCATTAGTATCTAACAGCAGGAGCAGCAAGGTAAGTTTGTGCAGCACTGCCAACCTCTCAGAGGTTCCCCATATATTCTATGTGGGGATCTCAGCTGTGTCTTCTCTGCTACTGTGGCACCTGGCATGAACCTCCATGTGTCATCCTGGACTATAAAATGTAGAACTGTGAGCAACTAAAACTGAGCCAAGATAGAAACTGACACATGCAGAATAGCATAGACAACAGAAGCAAAGAAACACTTGAGCTACTTATTGGTATAAGAAGTACTCCACTACAGGCCCTATGTTACAATTCCAGAGTGTTCACAGCTAGTGAAATTGCATACTTTTAGACAGCCATAGTAAATTCGGGAAAAATTTAATGAAATTTCTGGAGATGTTGGGCATTTGTTTCTCTCCTCCTGACGTAGACCCAGGATTTAGGTGCACACCCACTCAACAGCAGCCAGAGATCATGCCAAAGAACTTTTGGGTGTTCTACAGCTGCATGGAAGAGGCATATGACTTGTATGTGTTCTGAAGACATTGCATGGTTTGACCACAGACTGAAGAATTCTCTTTCATTCAATTTAAGAAATATATTGTTTGTATTTACATTCATGGAAGAATAGTGACCTTTAGCAAGCATTGAATACGACAAGCTAGAACTTTCCATTGTCAGTTTCTTTACCTTTTCTGTTGGCCAATACATTTGGAAGGATTTGATATCTTAAAATTCTTTGGGAAAAGAACAAAAAATTAAAAGAGTCAATTAACCTTACACCTTACCTCCCTCTTGCAGCTCAGCACTAATATTCTGTTCACATTGAATTTTGGCTTCCAAGAGAAGATAAATCTGCTCCTCCATAGTCATTATGTCCTCAGAATCAACCTGATAAAGGGAAAGCCCACAAGAAACAGGTTGTGACTTGACAGTCTTTATAAACATTTGTGTTAAGACTTTCTCCAAAAAGACAAGATTTACATACAAGAAATCAAGCATTATTAGATTACACACTAGTTTTTTATTGTTGTTTGGTTTAAGATAATACAAGCAAAATTAGCCAACACAAGGAAAAAGATTATAACCAACTCTCCTGCTGACCGCTCTGGCTTCATACAGGCGGGCTGCTTCTCTGTGTTTGCTCCCAACTCACTGAATTTAAACAGTGGCAAATTCTTCCCACCCCTCCTCCTAGAGAGGAGCAAGGAAAGCAGATTGCTTTTTGCATGTAGCACCTAAGGGAAGCTTGACAACATTGTCTTTAAGAAAAAAATCAATGGATAGGTTTCAAGAAATACAAATACATGTGTTAGAAAAACATACTTGCACAACAAAGCCATCTCTAAGCAGTATTGGACATAGCCTCTACTGCCAGAGGACAAGTTACATGAACAGACCTGTGAGAAGTGGGCAAAACATGAGTTCCTCCCACAGCAAACTCCCTCCAACACCTGAGATGTCTCAACATTTTATGAATAACATCTACAAAAGCCACAGGAACTTATGAGGGGAATTTGCATTTAAAATACTGCTGTCATCTGGACCAAGTCCAGTGAAGGGTTGAAAAGATCAAGGGGCTGGAACATCCATCACCCAAAAAAAGGCTGAGAAAAGCTGAAATTGTTCAGCCTGAAGACAAGTAGCTCAGGGGATTGTGCCAATGCATGTGAGTATCTGAAGGGAGGGTGCAATGAAGCCGGTCTTTTCAGTGGTACTCGGGACAAAAAGCAACAGGTACAAACTGAAACACAGGAAGGTCCGTCTGAATATAAGATGATCCAAGATTATCTCTCCTTGCTCCAGCTGCTGCTGTTAAATCCACACAAGCTTCATGCAGGAATCACCCCAATAAACTATGACTTGGCCAGCATGTTCAAGGTTACTAGAAGATATTGGCACAAGATAATAGCTGCTTAATTACACAAAAGCTTACTAAATCTCTCGAAAGGGTCATTGGATCCATCACCCTGAATTAGAACAGCTTCAATAATGACACTGGCTTATATAATCAGTTGCAATGATTAATGTGTGTTCTGCTTAGGATGAATCAAATTATCCATGTTAACATAATTTCACTCTTTTTTTTTACCATAATCATAACTTCAGAAGTGCATAAAGAAAATGCTATCTTATCAGTACAACACCAGACCTCCCTTTTTTGAAAAGAAAACTTGCTGGGTCACTGAGATAATTTGCTCAGCAACCAAACCACTGTAAGAACAAAATATTTTTAAGGTAATTCTATTTTAAGCCTCTACAACTCTAGCTTAAAGGTATTTCATTCATCTGCCAGAACAGTCCAGTTATCATTCACAGATCAATCTCCATCAGAACTTTAGCCACGCTAACAAGAGAATCTCCTGCTCAACTGCTTCTCCCATGCAGAAGTTTCAGCTCAAGGGCTGTATGACTACTCCAGGACTGTTTAGGACAAAATGCAGGGAGGAAGCCCTATACAGGCAAGTGAGGGGTGAGGGGGAGAGCTAAGGCAAACACAGGGCCTCGTCTATTTGTAAAAGCACTGTTTTTCTCACTTCATTGTGGTACTTGCAGTTACTTACTTACTAACCAAGTGGAGATAAAAGGCATCCAACAGTCTTTACTACAATAAGGCAGGCTTATCTTTTCTTAGGATCAGGTAAGAATTTGGAGCAAGAGTCAGTTGGTCTGGACACCAGATTTGTGAACACAGAAAAAGTGGGCAGACATTTCCAAGTCTCTTTAAGAAGCTGAACAGAGAAAGGATGGGAGTGAGCAGGGAAGCTCTTGGCTTTTGCACTCCCTGCACCGCTAAGCCAGCACCAGTGTTAAACTATTATTACCCTCTTGCTGCTCAGCTCACAGGTGAGGAGCAAAAATTTATAAAGAACTTGGACTTTCTTCTTCCTACAGATTTTAGCAGTAAGGACTTTTGTGCAAGGCAGCTGCCTAACCACACGCCACAGTAAAGGAACCCCACTGAAAGCTCCAGGCTGATTCTTAACTTCAAAGAGGGCTCTAACAGCTCTAGGAAAGGACACAGCAGATCTTGAGCAATGTTTGTTTTCCATTCAATTAGTCTTATCTACAGGCTTCAGTAAAGACACTAACAATGCTAAGCAACATGACAAAGGCAACACTTACAGAAGCATCTGATAACCAGTAGGGAAGAGAAGTGAACACCTCAGTCAAAGCTATTACAAAAGGGGGAAAGTAACTCAGCTGCCACTCTGTTTCCTTGGTGGCTGCAAAAAAAATAGTTTAGCCTAGCACTGAACAATCTGGGGACTGAAAAGTTATAGGCGTTTTTTCTACATAACTAGCAAAAAGAGTAGAAAATATGCACACACTACCTTCAAAATACATGCTCCATGAACAAGGAAATCCATTTTTACCATGAAATGAGTAGAATACATGTAGAACTAAAAGTATATTACTCCATAGTAAGAGACATTTCAGTTCTATTATCGGATTATATTTAAGCCCCTAGGTCCCTTTTCCATTCATAGCAAACAGTTGATGGCCAGCAAAGAAAGGGCACAGTTGGTAAGACAGACCCTCCTCCTCACCAAAAAAGCAGAAAACCACTTTTCTGACCCAAGAACATAGCAAAAAATAATTTTACTTCAGAAAAATCAATATAAAAGCAGACATTGCCTTTGTGCTTCAACATGAGGGGGATTAAAAAACAAAAAAAAAAAAAAAAGAAAGAATGGAAGGAACTTTCCTCCTTGTGGAATCATGGAATGAAAAATAATCATTGAAACATTGAAAGACCAAGCTGGCAGTGTCTCCACCTTGGGTGCCTGAAAGCTTAAGGCAATATGCAATAACTAGATTTTTTTGTTTGTTTGTTTTTTGTTCATGGACCAACACAAATCCCACATACTTATCATACCTAAAACTCAGAAATACATTTCCCCCCTTCTCAGTTACTACATTGAAAGGAGCCCCAAACCCACTAAGCACACAGGAATCCTGCGTAATGCTAATGCAGTAATGTCCTCCTCCTGTGTAAAACCTTTCATGCTTTTACACTAAAACAAGCTCCAGAGGCTTCCTCCTTTCTAAGCATTGCCCAGCAAACAATAAAATGCACCCCTTACTCTACCGCTGCTATGTCGTAGGTTTTTTACATGCAGCACCATTTATTGTCTCTACTTGAGCTGGAATTGTGTTTTACACATCGGCACACACAGGTGCTCCTGGCAGACTCCCAAGGCGGCACCTGACTCTGCTTCTGTGCTGCACCACAGGCCAGCCCGAACCTCAGGCAGACAGAACGAAGAAGAGAACTACAGAAACTCTCTGCTACAGGAAGATACACACCACGTACCTTGGACGACTGCAAGTTTTCCTCTACTTAATAGGAAAGCAACTCCACGTTAAAAACAGCTGCGCACAAACAACGAGGAAAGCAAGCGAGGGGGGCTGCAGCAGGTGCTCTCAAAAAGACCTTTAAAAGAGTTTTTTTTTTTTTTAAAGACTTCGAAAGAACCTTTAAAGCGCTCTTAAAAGTCACCGAGTCGAGGGCAGGCAGGCGCTTTACTTCAGCCCGGCCACCACCGCCCGATCTAACGGTCGCCGCACCCAAAACCGCGCTGAGGCAACGGTCCGTCCCCCGGGGACCTGCCCCTGCCCGTCCCCCCGCCGCTCCTACCTGTGCCGCGGAGAACAGGCACCCGCTCAGCGCCAGCCAGCCCAGGACGCGCCGCGTGCCGGCGACCGCGGCCATGTCGCCACGGTCGCCCTCGCCACGGCCGCAACTTGTCCCCCCAAGACGCTCCGGCAGCAGCAAACGCCGCTTCTCACCGCGCCTCCTTATATAGCTGCCGCGCGCGCATGCGCACTCCTCCCGCGCGCCGGTCCCGACCGTTGGCGGGTAACGGTCGCCCCAACGGCCGGACTGAGAGAGGCTATCTGTGTGGGCGAGCGCGTGGAGTTAGTGCTTGCACCTACTCTTTGAAGGACTCCTTAATTTATCAGCTAATGAGATAAAAGAGGGCATGTTCGGGCACCTCTGTGACTGTTTGCAGAGCTATTTGATGAGGGCAAGGATGCTTTTGGAGATTCCAAGTGGAAATAAAATGTAGAAAACACTGGTGTAATCTTTTGTCCTCTGTTTCTGACCATCTTGGACCCTAGCCTGTGATCTATCCAGTAGATGCCATTACTTTTTTTCCTTAACTGACTCATCCTTGGCTTTTTTATGGACAGTAGGACTTCCCATTTATTATTTTTCAGTGACGAGTGAATGTTGTCAACAGAGCATGACTTGCTGACACTACAGCAAACACTGTTAGTACAAATGATCTGACTCATATTACTACAAACGCTCATTCAGTTAGACACCAAGGAAGACAGCATTGTGGGGGGATTTAGAAACAATGTGTATCCTTAAATTCATTTTTATTACTGATTTACAGAACATGCTGATAAGCCTTTCTTCCAAACAGAGCTGATAAATACTTCATATAATTATTTCTGAGTGAAATACAAGCTGGCTTCTGTTTTTGGCATTTTAAGCCGATTACAGCCAGTTTTCTTTATAAAGATATCACAGCTCCGCAGTAGGATTGTGCATCTAAGCTAAACACTGCAAGTAATTAATTACCTTCAGGGGAAATCACCATGAGAAGTCCCGAAAGACGCAATCCTGCAATATGTACTTCGGCGTTACTCCAAAGTGTGTTTCTAAAAGTGCAAATATACAGATTGTTCTTTCTTCTTAATTTAGCAAGCAGCTACAGGGAGTACCAGCTTAAAAATGTCACTTAGGAAAATGTCTTCAGGTTTGGTGCACCTACAAAAGCAGGTTTATTTATGTATGCAAGTGTAAAAGGAGGCTAATATTGAGACAAGGCAGCCAGTCAAACTGTATGTTGAATCTGCATTCATAAAATAGCAAGAAGATCTTGCCACTTAGTAGCCTGTTTTGCATTAAATGGAAACTGTTTCCGAACCCTTACTTGAAATTGCAGTTCTAATTGAAGGAAACCTTTCAATAACATCAATAGAAAATAGGGCAAGAGAACTAATACCTTTTTCTTTTCTTTTCTTTTCTTTTCTTTTCTTTTCTTTTTTTTTTTTCTTTTTTTTTTCCCGTGAAGCTGACTTTATTGAGGTCTGCTAGGTCTGTCGTGAACAGATAACCTATGCAGTGAAACCTGTGTAAACTCCGGTCTGTCCCACTGACTTCCTGTGAGAACAATACATGTTGGACAAATAGGAGGAGATGCATGGAGTGGCTTTCAGGTGAACAGGAATTAAACTCTTCAGCTCCTAAGGGAGACAGGCTACAAGTATCCTGAGTGGTACAAAGAACACAAATGAGGAATTCTGCAGTATTCATCCACGACAGAAACAGTGGTCCCAGTGAAACTCTAAAACAGCAAATGGAAAAAAGCAGAAAGAAGCTTCTCCTGTATAACCATTACAGTGGGATTCACTATGAACACATAAAATGCAAAGGGGCTCAAACAGGGACTAAACTAATTCACAAAAGGCAGATTCACTGGTGACTGCTAAAATCAGTGGTCCAGTTCATGAAGGTCTTTCACAGAATGGTTGAGGTTGGAAGGGACCTCTATAGATCATCTAGTCCAACCCCTACTCTATACTGGACCCTCTCCAGTAGTTCCAGATCAGCCTGGGAGACTAGTTAGAGAAAGGATCATTGCTTATATGCTCTGTATATGATACACATACTCTTTTCCTCTTTTCCTAAACATCCATAGCTAACTGCTACCAGAAACATCACTAGCCTGGTGCATCACCAGTGTGACTCAGTCAGATACTTCTAATGGTCTAAATTAGCTCCACCTGAACAGGTTATCAACTGGTCCCAGTCACTGTGATCCTGTTGCTATTTTTATTGACACCAGTGGGTGTGAGGCAGTGCCACTGCCTTGACAGTGAACTAAAACCAATGGGATCTCCTTCTAGTAACTCCAACCAATGACAACTGCATATAGAAAGCAAGATGGAAAGTTAAAGAGAAGCTGCAAACTGTTTCAATAATACGAGATTTGATTCAATATAATGGTAGAGTTGATTCATTGAATAATAGAGGCTATCTTAATGAAATTGTCTGAAATTATGGTGTGAGGACTGAGCTGCAGGGAGATCACAGCCTCAGTAATGTTTCCATGTAGTGGCTTCTGGAAAAACAAGGCTGATGTGTACACAGTGCCCGCCAGTATTTGTGCATATGCCCATGCATATGGGCTGTTTGCCTGTATATCCCTTCTGGCCTCCGTTCCTCCTTTCCAAAACCATTGGAATCACTTGGCCAGTTTCAATCAATTTTAATAAACAAATATTGAATTTCCATGTGTTTCATAAAAACAAGCAGTAAGGTACAGGAGATAAACCTTACTAGTGACAATTATAAATGCCTTTATATATACATATATGTGTGTGTGTATATATATATATATATATAAAGAGGCTTCAGCGGTACCAAGACAGGAAAGGAAGAAGAAACATTATAGAAACCCTATAGACGTAGCAAAGGAAGGAAAAACTAATAAGAGCTTGTGGTAAACTGTAAGCATAAATCTGCAGAAACAAAACCATGCTCCTTTAGTTTGTTGAGTATAGAATGACACAAACAGATTATATGGATTAATTTTCCATTTCCCGTGTCCTGGTAACTGAACAGTATATACAATGCTAGCAGTTACACAACTGTGTCAGATAGCTGTTTGATAGTATTACATCTTAGCTGAAATTACACTGTCAGTGTTCTGAATTAACCTAACGGTACAGTTTCCTTACATAATTACTCTGGTACATTATCTTAAAGCATGCAGCTTGCTTGCCAAGGCTTGAGCTAGGGGCACTGCAAATATATGCACAAACGAAAGACATTCTGAGTAGACAGTGTCTGCATAAATCTTGGAAAAGACAAAAAGGAAGGTCATATAGCCAAAATCTATCTTTCTCTTTCTTTTCTTAATTTTAAAATTTAATAACATACTTCACCTGAGTTTGAATGATATAAATTTGGATTCATGCCTCCCTTTTTGCCTGTGCAGCATTTTCAGCCGTATCCTGCATGATGCTGAGTGTCCTTTTCTTCCTTAATGCTGGTGGGAATTGAACTTCTTTAATGCTGGTGGGAATTGAAAGCACTGTGCAGTTTGGGGAATGGGACCCACATGCTCTGCACTAGTAGTTTTAAGCTTTCTTTAAATGTAAAAGCCTTTTGTTTTGCCACCCAGATATGGTTTGCCAACCATTTCAACTGTATATGCATGTTTTTATATAAACTAACGGATGGGGACCTGATTACAGATTTCCCTCAGATGGATTACTTAGCTACTTTTACAGCAGGGCCAGAATACCGTGATTCACCTATGCGGATGCCCTGTAGATGTGCACAAAATATTAGCTGATTTTTCTAATGCCATATACAAATCTGAGTGAACAAAGCTGACCTCTGGAGATACCAGCAAGTTCATAAATGCCAATAATAATACACAGTGCAACAGAATATCATATTATTGTTTGCCACTGATACAGAGCTTCCTCCAGGAAATGAATGATGCATTGATTTGCTCTTGCCTAAGGACCAGATTATACAGAATTCCTGCCAATAACACTTAAGTTTCCTTTGAATGTAGAGAAAATTCAACTTTTGTTAGGTGCAGCTATAGTACTTTTAAAATGTAATTAACTTTCAGACAAACTTACTGCTCTAGAAGTGCTTGTAATGTTTATCTAAATGTGGGATATATCAGTGTAAAATTAATTAAAATCATAATATGCAGCTTAGCTTCATTTACACTAAGGAAGCAGTACAGCCTGGTAGAAGATCAGATACACATGGAAGTGCTGCTCCCGTGCATGTATCCTCAAGAGAAACACACATGGATAGCAAGCCTGAGCACTTGTTACCGTGGGGTATCAGAGAGGTCAAAGGTTTAATGGGCTTTCTAAGCAGTTTAGATCTTTGCTGGATGGAGAAACATAAGTCAAAAATGAAATGCCCCTTATTTGGCAGGTGAGAAGTGAATGAGGGAGAAGGGATGTCTCACTCCATCTGAAGTTGCTGGTATTTGCCAGACAGTACAAAAAAAAAAAAAAAAAAAAACCCCAAAACCAGCCAGATTGCTCGGCTCAGCTCTGTGCCACCATATGGCTGCACGACCCTTCTGCCCCTGTGCTTTCCTCTCCTGCTCTCCATCTGTGCAAATCTGGACTCCAAGCAGTTGGGCCAGGTCTGTCCCAGTGCAGGACATTGATGGAGCACTGTTCTTAGCCCGGCACTAAAATGAAAGTCCAAAAGTAGACTGCACAGGGCAATCTGAGCCAGAGCAGCAGTGCTAACTAACCCCGCGTGTTCGTGTGTATTTGTGTTTGGTAAAGCTCTCTAAGCTCTCTATATGTACTAACACGGCGTGAGGGGCAGACAAAGCCTGATGCAGATCTGAGGATAATCACACAGTATCCGTGTTTTGCACAAGAATATCAGAGTGTCCCCTTTAGCCTGGGGGTGCCTCTGAGCTGAACCACTGCAACCCATCTCCTTATCACATATACTCTAACAGAAATGGTGAGGAAGAGGAAAATGCCTTCAGGTATTTTGAAAAGAAACCATTTTTCTTCAAAACTTATTTTAATACCTCAAAGTTTCTGTGCTCCAGATGGGCCAGATGGGATTGCAATTAATCCTTGGGAACTTGTAGGTTTTCCAGGATCTTGAGTCTCCACATACTCTTGTATTTCTCT